TTATATTACATTTTTTTTTTCATTGCTGGAGATGGAACCCAGACCCTTGTGCACTAGGCAAGTGCTCTACCACTGAGCTACACCCTTAGCCCCTGTTTATCCTACTTCTTGCCATACAAAATATTTTTTAATAGTAAAAAATGTTTGTTTATTTGGAGGGTAGTGGGGATTGAACTTTAGTGTCTGGCTAAAAATGTGTATTTTTTAATAAATTTTAAAACCAAAGTTTTCAGTCTTGGCTAGAAAGTTATCCCTAGAAATCTAGGTGACTAGATGTATGTAACACAAAGTGTGGGGGTTTCAACAGATGCGCCTGTGATCTCAGCAGCTCAAGAGGCTAAGGCAGGAGGGCCACAAGTTCAAAGCCAGCAACTTAGTGAGGCCCTAAGCAATTTAGTGAGACCTTGTCTCAAAATAAAAAGGGCTGGGGATATAGTTTAGTGGTTAAGCCTTCTTGGTAAACACCCCCCCCCCAAAAAAAAAGAAAACAATAATATTAAGTTTGTGATTTTAAAAAAATAATAATAATGGCTATCACTTTATACCAGGGATAAATTAATTTGAGTAGGAGTAACAGAAAATTATTTGAAAAGTATTTAAGGGCTCACATCGATAGTAGAAGTTGCAAAGATGAGTTCTGTATACCTCTGTGCCCATGCAGAAGTTTCCAAAAATAGATTTCACATTAAAATTTCAATTTTGTCTTCTCCCAAAAGCCAGAAGATCAGATCATCTTGGGCCTCTGTCCTCTGCTGGCCTCACGGTGGCTGGGGGTGGGGAGCAGTTGTCCCCTGTAGGGCGGGCATGCTGTTCCCATTTTGTTCAGTCCCACAAAGCCCCCTTTTCTCCCAGCACTGACCAAGGAGCCCAAAGCCACATTTCAAAGTGCCTGCACTGTTGTTTTCTTACACCACAGTCATGAGAGACATATAGTCATTCCTACAGGAATGATGCAGAAATGGGACTGCAGACGCTGTGGGCTGGGGCTATGGGTGTTAAGATACCCGGCTTTTGTAAGCATTTTAGTTTGTGCCCCAAACCATGAACCTGGTGATTAAAAGACTCAGGGGCCCTGGGTAAAGTTCCGGATGGTCTCTAGATTCCAGTCCTTTTATTACTGGACCCCTCATTTGGACCTGACACCTGATTTTGAGAAATTTCCTGATTCTCCTCCCTCTCTTGAGGGTTTTTTTCTGTTTTCCCTTCCTTCCTGGGAAGATCCCAAACACTTCCTGGGTCATAAGTACCACCTGAGGACTCCCTAACATTAGGCACTGACCCTGACTTTGGCCTGAATTCTCAGTTTCTGACTCATGGAGGCAGAGCTGCCTTTGGACCAGAGGAATCTCAAACCCAGCATGTCCAAATCCAAATGTCATGGTCCGTTCCTCCACCACCTCCTCCTCCTGTCTTTGCCTCCTGTCTCAGGGATGTTTCCCAAAGCCAAGCCATTGATCTGGGTATCCGAGACTCCTTCCTCTTCCCAGCCTCTATTCTCCCTCCTGGTAGTTACCAAATTCTGCTAATTGACATTCTAAATCTGATGGATCTGGCCCCTCTTCTGTTCCTATCACTACCTTGTTCAGGCCTTTGTTCTTTTAACCAGACAGTTGCAATGGCCTCCTTCTAACTGGTCTCCCTGCCTACAGTCTTGCCTCCAGCAAATCCATCCTCCAATCCTGATGCCAGAGTGATCTGAAATGCAAATATGATCTTGCCACTCCCCTGCTTAAAACCCACCAACTGCAGTGGTTCTGTAACCGCAGGGTAGCCTCTGACAAGGGCTGCTGAAAGTAAGTTGTTACTACTCCTACTACTGCCACTATGAGTACTACTATTACTACTAATACAAATACTAATAATAGTAGCTAACATTTATTGATCATTTTCCATTATGCTTTCAAGTGATTATCTTTTTAAAACAAATTATAGCCAATTCAAAGTTTTCTGAATGATACTGCTCTCGTTTGCCTGGGGTGAAGGAGAGGGGCAGAGTTACAGGCAGGGGGCACCAGGGAACTGTTCCTAGCCATCAGCAATCTTATCATATGCCCTAGAAAGTGACCATGCTGATTTAGCTTCAAGAGTTAATAGGGATTACCATAATTCTTAGGAATGAAGATTTGCTCTCCATCCCTACAAAACATCAAGGGAGGGTGTCAGTCGCCTGGATCCTGAACGTGTCCATCAAGTACGCCATATGTGGGAGTGTCCTTGGGCTCCTGGGGGTACCAGGAAAGGGGAGTGAAGGACTGCTGGCATTCAGGGTCAAAAATGCTTGATCTGGTCCCTGCCTACCTCTGCTACCTCCTGCCACTCCCCTCACACTTCTCACTTTAGTGCAACCAAACTGTATGTGATACTAATCATCACTCACTGTTACTGAGGTCTCCTATGTGCCAGGTGCTGGGCTAAGTGGCTTGCCGCAATGCTGCTATCTTGGGTGAGGCTCACAGCAACCTTTAAAAGAAGCAAGCCTTGCTATTCCCTTTTCATAACGGAGGGAAGCGAGTCTCCCAGAGGTGCAGTAACGGCCCAGGTAGCGAGGTCACACCCCTCACCTTGACTCACTGTGCCCTCCCTCTTTTGCCTGGGTAGTGCCCATTCATCGTTGGGAGACCTGTCTCCTCCCCTAGGCTGCCCTGGGAGCCTCAGAGGCTGCACTGCGGTCACACACTGGGTTCAGTCCAAGTGCTTCTCAAGGCAGGGTTTGGGCCTCTTGCATCTTGGAACCCCCAGCATCTAGCACAGTGCCTGGCACCTAACAGACCTCTGTAAGTGCTTGTTGAGTTGACTAAACTGAATTCCAGGCGCCGAACCTCGAGGTCATTGTCCCGCTGACCAGTTTTCCCTGTCTTCACCTCTCTAGGCACAAAGCTATCTGATCTCTGGAGAAGGACCCTTTCCCTTCCTGCTTGGGTCCCACCTGCACCCTTTGACTTCCGGTTGAAACTGCTGTCTCATCAGCCACCCTGCCCACACTCTGGACATCTCTGCTCTCTCTCATCCCCTCTCTCACCCACAGGCAGGACCCCATATCTACTCCTCTCAATCAACTTATTTGGCTCCCCATTGGCCTTAACTCTTTCCACTGGTTTTGTTGTTGTTGTTGTTTGGGTTTTTTTTCCCTGTCCCAAAGTTCGCTCCCCACCCCCACCCTCCAAAAAAGTCTATTTCTTTCTGTCTCTTCACTAAGTCCTCCCAATCAACAGCCCATGGTGGGGTTTTCTCCTCAGAAGTGCATAATCCACAACGTGCTATTTAAACCAGTTTTATTTTGCCTTGGGAAGTCCCATTGCCTTGCCTGAAGACATTAAAAATTTCTCCTGTCCCCAGCCTGAATCTCTCTGTCCCTGAGCCCCAGCCTGCCCTGCGGCAGAGCTGGTGTGTCCAGGACAGAGTGACCCTCAGAGGCCCTTGCCCCACCCTCCCCCACCACCACCCGTCCCCTGGCCCTGCCTTCCCCTCACTTCCCAGTCTCCTCTGCTTCTGGCAGCTTTGGGACCCCCGCCCCTGGCTTCTCCTCCATGCTGTATGGAATGAAGATTGCAAATCTGGCCTACGTCACCAAGACTCGGGTCAGGTTCTTCAAACTCGACCGCTGGATTGACTCGCGGCTCCCAGAAAAGAGGAGAATGAAGCTGAGCTCAGATATCAGCAAGCACCACAAGTCACTGCTAGCCAAGATCTTTTATGACAGGTGTGTGTCTGTGTGTGTGTGTTTGTTCGTGCACACACACTTGCTTGTGAGGGGTGCTCAGGGCATGGGGGAAGGGGCTGTCTAGCCAAGGAAAGAGTAGTTTGCTCAGATGGTGGGGAGGCCCCTTCCTTAAGGAATGGGGGAAGCAGGTGGGGGGCTCGGCTGCGGGTGGGAGCATGGCTGGCACTCCCCCCAGGACATCCCCCAGTCCAGGCCGCTCCTGCCCTGGCCCCCACCCTTGACTCCCACTCTCCCCAGGGCTGAGTATCTTCACGGGAAGCATGGGGTGGACGTGGAAGTCCAGGGGCCCCACGAGGCACGAGATGGGCAGCTCCTTATCCGCCTGGATTTGAACCGCAAGGAGGTGCTGACCCTGAGGCTCCGGAACGGAGGAAACAAACCTGTTACCCTCACTCACCTCTTCCCACTCTGCCGGACACCCCAGTTTACCTTCTACTATGGTGACCAGGAGCTGCCCTGCCCGCTAGGCCCCGGTGAGTAGCTTTCCAAAGGGAAGAACTCTGGTGGGTAGGGCTTGTCCTAGCAGGGCTGCAGCTTTGGAGCACACACTGTGGCTGTCCAGTGGTCTCCTCTCTGGATGGGGCCGGCTGGGGGAGGTCGGGGTCAGCATGTTGGTGGGAGAGTCCCTGCCTTCCCTCCCCCCTCCCGTTCACTCAGCCTTCTCCCTGCAGGTGAATGCTATGAGCTGCATGTGCACTGTAAGACCAGCTTTGTGGGCTACTTCCCAGCCACGGTGCTCTGGGAGCTGCTGGGACCTGGGGAGTCGGGGTCAGAAGGAGCTGGCACTTTTTACATTGCCCGCTTCTTGGCTGCCGTCGCCCACAGCCCTCTGGCTGCACAATTGAAGCCCACGACTCCCTTCAAGCGCACCCGGATCACTGGAAACCCTGTGTTGACCAACCGGATAGAGGAAGGAGAGAGACCTGACCTGTAAGCCCTCTCTCCAGTCCTGTCTGGGCTTGGTGTGTCCTGATCACAACAGTGTGGGCCCTTGGGAAAAGCCCAGAGCTGGGAGCCAGGGGCCCCTTTACTGCTGTAGGTTATTTCCTCCTCTGGGCTCAGAAACTTTTTCTGCCTACGAAGCAAATTACAGGAGAGGAGCAGGTCCAAGGACAGTATGAAAACATTTTTTTAAAGAAGTATTTTCACTGTGTAATGAATTATCAGGCAGCCCATTATAGACCGACACACACACCTCTCTCTCTCTCTCTCTCTCTCTCTCTCTCTCTCTCTCTCTCTCTCATAGCATTGGGGATCAAAACCATGCATGCTAAGCCCATGTTCTACCCAGCCCCCTCTCTTCTCTTTTTAAATTAAAAAGTATATATATATATATGGGTGGTACTGGGAATTGAAATCAGGGACACTTTACCACTGAGCTATAGCCCCAGTCCTTTTTGAGACAGGGTCTTGCTAAGTTGCTGAGACTGGCCTTGAACTTTTGATCCTTCTGTCTCAGCTTCCTGAGGTGCTGGGATTATTGGCATGCACCAACTCACCCAGATCTCTCTTTTTTAAAACAGTTTTACTGAAATAATTCACATATCATACAGGTCAGTTATTATTTTTTTTTTTAGTATGTTCACAGATATGTGCAACCATCATTACAGTCAGTTTTAGAACATTTCATTACACCAAAGAAGAGATCCAACACCCTTTAGCTACCACCCTTTTATCACTCACCCACCTGCTCAGCCCTTAGCAGCCACTCACTTTATCTCTGTCTCCATAAATTTCCCTATGCTGGACATGTCACGTGGCGAGTGGACTCATGTGTAAACATCTTTTTGACATAGCTAGCTAGTTACAAAATACTGTGTAATAGGACCTTCACAGTTAGATCATTGTTCACTTTTTGTTAACAATATATAGGTGCCAGGTGCAGTGGCACATGCCTATAATCCCAGTGACTTAGGAGACTGAGGCAGAAGAATTACAAGTTTGAAGCCAGCCTCAGCAACTTTGTGAGGCCCTAAGCAACTTACTGAGACCCTGTCTCAAAACCAAAATTAAAAAGGGCTGGCTGGGGATGTGGCTGAGTGGTAAAGTGCCGCTGGGTTCAATTTCTGGTACCCCAAAACGAAAACTATGTATATATACACACATAATATAAACTGGAAGCCTGCAAACCCCCCAAAATTAACATTGGCTGTCCCAGGATGGTAAAAATGTTATTTATTATAATTTTTGCCAGATTCTTCTTTAATAATGAAAATGTATTATAAATAATATTTTTCAAATATTCCAAGCATTGGGCTTTCCAAAAATGGTCCAGCCTTGGACTGAGCAGCCCCATGAGCTAGTGAGCTCCATGTCCTTGGGCAGAGGCTGCCGACCACCCTTTGGCAATGGCATCACAGAGGTCCTTGTGTATCCTCCGCGGAGGGGCATTCCCAGAGTCTTGAAGGTGATAGGTTCAATGTTTATGACAGCTTCCCCCCCCCACTTCTGCAGCGCTAAAGGCTATGACTTGAAGCTAAGTATGGCACTGGGGACCTACTACCCACCCCCACGCCTCAGGCAGCTGCTCCCCATCCTTCTTCAGGGAACAAGTATCTTCACTGCCCCAAAGGAGATTGCTGAGATCAAGTAAGTGCCTCCCCTCTGCACCCCACTCCCGCCTTCTCTCTCCCTGCTGGCCTCTGCCTGTTGCTCTGGATGTCTGTCCGGCCTCCCAGGCTCTATTCGTTCACCCTTGCTGAGCATGCCCTCTTGCAAGGTGCTGTTCCAGATGGGCCTTGCCCGTTCTGGTGGGGAACAGTGAGCACTGATCATTTCTTTTAAAACATTTATCTTGTACATTCCCATATTGTGGTGAATGCTTTGAAGAACTCAAGTAATGCTAAAGTAAAACCAAAGCAGGACAAGGGGATGAATTGGTGATGTTTTACAGAGAGCAGTCAGTCCAGGCCTCTTTGAGGAGGTGACATTTGAACAGAGTGTGACATTTGAATGAGGTTAGGGTGTGAGTCATGGAAGGAGGATCTGGGGGAGAATGTTTCCGCCATAAGATCTACCGAGGATACTCAAGTCAGGTCTGAGGTTGGAGCAAGGACATGGGAGGAAGCAAGAGTTGGGGCTCCCTTCTTCAAGGCCTCTGACCCCATCCAATTCTCTGTCCTTCTGGTCTTCTCTGCTTCCTGGTGTGCTCCTAGTCGCAGAGCTTCAAATGGGAGAGGGTAGATGCTCCTGGGGTCATGGGACTGCTTGACCTGTCCCTTTCCTGCCCTTCCCACTTCATCCCCCAACCATCACTGCCAGGGCCCAGCTGGAGACAGCCCTGAAGTGGAGGAACTATGAGGTGAAACTCCGACTGCTGCTGCACCTGGAGGAGCTGCAGATGGAGCACGACATCCGGCACTATGACCTGGAATCGGTGCCCATGACCTGGGACCCCGTGGACCAGAACCCCAGGCTGCTCACACTGGAGGTTGGGGCTCAGATCAGGTGCAGGGAGGGCGGGCTCAAGTCAGCCAACCTCTATAGGCCATTCCTAAATACAGGGCAAACCTAGAAGGAGGATAAAATGGTTCCTGTCCCAGAGGGGTCAGCAAGGGGTAGGGTGGGCATCCTTCGCCCCAAATGATGTCAGAGCAGGACACTGGGGTTTTAATCTAGACTTTGCTACTACTGGCTGTGTGACCTTGGGCAAGATCCTTGCTTTCTCTGAGCCATAGGTCCCTTATCTAAAAAGCAGAGAGCTGGACTGGATAATTCTGAGGGCCCTTTCCAGCTCACAGATTTTGAATGTGTGCACCTGAGACCAGAATTACCCACGAGAATGAATTTCTGCACACAAATGCAGGTGGGAAGAGAGAACAAGGATGATCAGGGCAAGATGACTGCAGGAGATGAGTTTTAACAAGATTTTAAAGGCAGAGTAGAACGGAGCTGGAGAAAGGGCAGCTGAGTAGAGTGGGAAGCAGCTGCCAGGCCTTAAACTAGCACCCTGGAGTTCTGCACCTGTGAGCAGCTTGGGACGGTTGTCTCCTTCCTCTCCCCACAACTCCTGTCTGGTGGGAGAGGAAGGGGAACAGGGAAAACGCAGCTCTCTGAGTCTTGGGTTAGAAGGCCAGAGCCTCAGTTTTCGTCCCTCAGAGGTCTGGAGAGCCTGGGGGTTGGGTCCTTCAGTGACCATGCTTGGGACAGAAGCTTGCTTACGTTCACACCCTGTAGGTTCCCGGTGTGACCGAGAGCCGCCCCTCAGTGCTGCGGGGGGACCACCTGTTTGCCCTTCTGTCCTCTGAGACACAGCAGGAGGACCCCGTCACCTACAAGGGCTTCGTGCACAAGGTGGAACTGGACCGTGTCAAACTGAGCTTTTCCATGAGGTGGGTGTTGGGGGAACCCTTCCTCACAGTCTTCTCCCTCAGGCCAGGGGAGAAGAGAGGCTTTCTCCTAAGATGAGTGGATCCCAAGCACAGGGCAGGGGCTTTTCTTCTGGGGACTCTGAGCTACCTCAGCAGCCGCCTCTCCTAGGGAGCTTTTATGGAGGTCTGGGAAAGAGGGAGTGGAGCAGAGGGAGGTGGAGGGAGGTCCTGGCTTTTTGCTGCCTGGCCCACCTAACTGGAGCTCCTCTACCTTTCTCCCTATCCAAAGCCTCCTGAGCCGATTTGTGGATGGGCTGACCTTCAAGGTGAACTTCACCTTCAACCGCCAGCCCCTGCGGGTCCAGCATCGGGCCCTGGAACTGACAGGGCGCTGGCTGCTGTGGCCCATGCTTTTTCCTGTGGCCTCCCGTGGGGTCCCGCTGCTGCCCTCAGATGTGAAGCTCAAGTGAGACTGAGGGCAGGGGACTCCAGGGCTGGTTGGTGTGTGGGGGTTGGGGATGGAGTCCTAGAGTCCTCTGGGATCCTGGAGAAGTTGAAGTTCAGATTCCCGGCCTCCCTGCCAGGCTGTATGACCGGAGTCTGGAGTCAAACCCAGAGCAGCTGCAGGCCATGAAGCACATTGTTATGGGCACCACACGTCCAGCCCCCTACATCATCTTTGGGCCTCCAGGCACTGGCAAGACTGTCACATTAGTGGAGGCCATTAAGCAGGTGAGGCTTGAGTATAAACTGGGACCTATATCCTTGACTCCCCCAGATGGAGCGATTATCCCCAAATTCTGATTTCCTTCAGCTCCCTGAAAGTTCTTGCTTCTCAGCAGCCATCAAAAGGAGATGGGGAGGGCTGGGGCTGTAGCTCAGTGGCAGAGCACTTGCCTAGCACGGGTGAGGCACTGGGTTCAATCCTTAGCATCGCAAAAAATAAATGGATAAAATAAAGGCATTCTGTCCATCTACAACTATAAAAAATTTTTTTAAAAAGGTGAGGAGCTAGAGTCAGTGTGGCTGTTGAGCACTGTTGTATAGGTTGGACACTTGAAGTGTAGGTGTGGTTCTTGGAGTGACCTTTTGCATTTCGGTCTTCATAGACTTGTGTGTTTATTGCAGTTGTTGTCCCATGTCAAAGTGCTAATTGGACTAGCAGGGCTCCAGGATAGAACTTGCCTTTTATATCACTGCCTCCCTTGGCTGTGGGAGGCAGACGCTGCACTGCCCCAGTGTGAGTCCCCAGAGTTCGGGAAGCTGCTTCCCGAACTTCCCGAACTCTGCCTGTCCGCATCTCAGGTGGTGAAGCACTTGCCCGAAGCTCATATCCTAGCCTGTGCTCCGTCCAACTCCGGTGCTGACCTTCTCTGTCAGCGGCTCCGGGTCCACCTGCCCAGCTCCATCTACCGCCTCCTGGCCCCCAGCAGGGACATCCGCATGGTACCTGAGGATATTAAGGTAAGGGAAGTGCAGAGGGTCCAGGGATGGCAGATGCCTGGGAGTCTCTTAAGGACAAACCAGAAAACTAGGGAGACTTGGATCCTCACCCTTGGGTGGGTGAGAACCCTCCCTGGGCCTCAGTTTCCTTGTCTATAAAGTGGCCCAATGCCAGAGTGAGTGTGGGCATGGGTAGAGCCAAGCCGATGCCTCGTGTTGCTTCACAATCCACAGCCCTGCTGTAACTGGGATGCGAAAAAGGGGGAGTATGTGTTTCCTGCCAAGAAGGAACTGCAGGAATACCGCGTCTTAATTACCACTCTCATCACGGCCAGCAGGTGGGGACTGTGTGTAAATAAAAGGGTAGTGGGCTGGGAAGATGGGGAAGGGTTCTCAGTGGGTGAGGCGGGGGACCAGATTGGGTGAGCATTCAGCTGGGTTCCCCAGGGATGACCCTGCCTGGCCTGACACCTCCCAGGTTGGTGTCGGCCCAGTTTCCCATCGATCACTTCACACACATCTTCATCGATGAGGCTGGCCACTGCATGGAACCTGAGAGTCTGGTGGCCATAGCAGGTGAGGGGCTCAGGGTGGGCTGCAGGTGCGCCACCCTGCACGGGGAGGTCCCACCACTTACCTTTCTCCTCATACCACCCTTGCCTTCTAGGACTGATGGAAGTTAAGGAAACAGGCAATCCAGGAGGGCAGCTGGTGCTGGCTGGAGACCCGCGACAGCTGGGACCTGTGCTGCGCTCCCCACTGACACAGAAGTATGGGCTGGGGTACTCGCTGCTGGAACGGCTTCTCACCTACAATGCCCTGTACAAGAAGGGCCCCGACGGCTATGACCCTCAGTTCATAACCAAGCTGCTACGCAACTACAGGTATCCCGCACCCTCATCTCCCTCCGCTGATAGCCCGTGCCTTCGCACCCTCTGCACCCCAGCAGGAGGCTTTGGTCAGCATTCCTGGTGCCCAGGGCCTCTGTGAGGCAGAAAGGACTCTAGACTGGAAGGTCGGAGGCCTCCTTTAGCTGGTGGTTTCATTCTGGACTAGTGAGATTATCTAGATGTGGGGGTGGTCAGACACCAGGATGTGCCTGATACCTGTCTCAGATGGCATTTCCAGGCAATCCAAGGAGAAATGAGAAAATGAATAGTTTTTCATAAACATATTATCATTCAAATTAGAGGGCTAGGCAGGGTTGTTTGTTTTGCAGTGGTGGGGATTGAACCCAGGCTCTCACACTGCTAGGCAAAAATTCTACCACTGAGTTACATCCCCAGCCCTGTTTTGTTTTGTTTTTTTTTAAGAGTCTCTTTGTTGCCCAGGCTGGCCTCAGGCAGTCCTCCTGCCTCAGCCTCCTGAATAGCTCGCTGGACCTACAAGCACACAGAACCACACCCTGTTTATATACTTCTTTTACTGAATAAGTTTAGACATTAAAAATGCTTGGATGAGTACCAGATGGGACAGTTGCAGAAAGGAAATGTTATTGTGTCATTACTTTTTTATTTTTGGGTTTAACATATTATCTCAAATAAGGGTGATAGGAAGTGATACATTGTTTTTGAACTGCCCTTCCTTGGCAAAATTGAAAGCTGAGTCCCTAATTTCTTAGGTTTTTTTTTTTTTTTTTTTTTTTTGAGGGGTGGGGTGTGCCAGGGATTGAACTGGGCACATGACCACTGAGCCACATCTCCAGGCCTATTTTGTATTTTTTTAGAGACAGGGTCTTACCGAGTTGCTTAAGTGCCTTGCTTTTTGCTGAGGCTGGCTTTGAACTGGTCATCCTCCTGCCTCTGCCTCCCAGACCGCTGGGATTACAGGCATGCACCACCATGCCTAACAAATCTTAGTTTTTAAAAGTAATTTGAAAAAAAAATAATAATAACTTCACTGGTCACTGGATCCCTACGGACCCACAAGTTCTGCTTTATGTGGTGTGCAATGCCTGGCAGGAGAGCGTGCAGGTGAATGTGTCCTGCTATGCAGGAAGCAGGAAGCAAGACAGTCATGTGTGGGCCTGTAAAGCTGGGTCCTCCCCAGGGCAGGACAAAAGTAATCCAGGCCTTGGTCTAGCTCTCCCTCCCTCTTGCCTCCCAGGTCCCATCCCACCATCCTGGACATTCCCAACCAACTCTACTATGATGGGGAGCTGCAGGCCTGTGCAGATGTGGTGGATCGAGAGCGCTTCTGCCGCTGGGAGGGTCTGCCTCAACAGGTGAGGCTGGACAGAGCAGGGCTCAGGTCCCCACCCCTATATCTTGACTGTTCTTCTGAAGGTAGGAAGAGGCTCAGACTGGACACCAGGGGTCCCTCCGGTTGTCACCTTGGCCTGAGCTTCCTTATTCCCTGCAAGGGTTTTGGAGTGGGAGGGAAGGGAAGCAGGGAAGTCCAGCTGAGGGTTTCTTCTGACCCTGTGACCAGGGATTTCCCATCATCTTTCATGGTGTGATGGGCAAAGATGAGCGTGAGGGCAATAGCCCATCCTTCTTCAACCCTGAAGAGGCTGCCACGGTGACCTCCTACCTGAAGCTGCTCCTGGCCCCTTCCTCTAAGAAGGGGAAAGCCCGCCTGAGCCCACGAAGCGTTGGAGTCATCTCGCCATACCGGAAGCAGGTCAGGCCCTCAGTTCCCAGCAAGGATGGGTCCTCCCCCAGGTGATAGCTCTCGGACAGCCCTGGCCTCTGCTGGCCCTACATCTCAGAAGAGTGCAGAGGTCAGCCGCCTCCTCCCTCTTTGCTCCCCAGCCCCCTGGCCTCCTTCCTGCCTGGTTCCTCTTGAATTGAGGTGACTGCATAAGAGAAAGACGCCTTTCCCTTCCCTCCAGGTGGAAAAAATCCGTTATTGCATCACCAAACTTGACAGGGAGCTTCGGGGACTGGATGACATAAAGGACTTGAAGGTGACACACTACTCCACATTCACTCTCACCTTCTTTGTACCCTTCTTTTTCCCAAATCAGAGACCTCAGCTCCTGTGCCACTGCTTCAGTCTGGCCCATGTCCCTGTCCCACCTCCACTGCCTTGGGACAGAACTGGCTTTTTTCCCCAGCCTCTGGCTCATCAAAGCTCTAGCTTATAGTTCTGGCATGGGATCAGGAAGCCTGCATGTTTAATAAGCTCCCACGTCACTGTGATCAGGGCAGGTTTGAGGTCTTTGCCCTCAGAATGAAGTCCAAATGCCACAGCCTACCCCCGCCTGTCATGTGATATTGTCACCTCATCTCCACCCTCAGTAGCTTACCACTTGCTCTGAGATGGTGATTTGAAGCTCTGAATGCAGAGAAAAATCACCTGGAGGGCTTTTAATACTGCCAGGGCCCCTCCCAGCCAATTAACACTAGTATCTAGGGGCAGAGCCAGGGCACTAGTATTTTTTACAGCTCCTCAGGTGCAAGCCTGAAACCTACTCTTTTGAGATTTGGAGACCTCTGCCTTGGAAAATTCTGATCAGGAGGTCTGGGTTAGGGCCCAAGGTTCTATAGTCTTAACAAGTACTTGCTGATTATCTCCAGGAAAGTTTCAGAAACACTGTTTGTGGTTACTGTGTTCTTTGCAACACTGTTTGCTTTGTTCTGAAGGGTTTATAGGCCCGATCCCAGAGCTGGCTTCATTCTTGAGGCTTGTGCTTCCAGAGCATGCCTCCTGTCCCCTGTAGCAGCACTCACCCACTGATCGACAATTGCCCAGTGTACCCTCCTTGCAGCTCAAGCGCCATGGGGCAGATGTTGCCCCTTAAGTTCCCCTTGAGCCCACCTATTCTCAGGCCCTGCCTCTATGTCTTCTAGGTGGGCTCTGTGGAAGAATTCCAAGGCCAAGAACGCAGCGTGGTCCTCATCTCCACCGTGCGAAGCAGCCAGAGCTTTGTGCAGCTGGATCTGGACTTTAACCTGGGTTTCCTTAAGAACCCCAAGGTTGGAGGGCTCGTGGGTGTGGCAGGAATTCTTCCTTCCTCCGGCCCTTCCTTCCCATGACCCCACCACTTCTTCCTTCCAGAGGTTCAACGTGGCTGTGACCCGGGCCAAAGCTTTGCTCATCATAGTGGGCAACCCCCTTCTCTTGGGCCATGACCCCGACTGGAAAGCGTGAGCATTCCCGCCCTGTAATCCCTCTTGGTGGCCACAAGCCCCAGCTTAGGCAGGTGTATCTTCATTAGTACCTGCTTATGGCTCAATCCTCAGGATCAGTTAATCTTCATAAAACCTCCATCTTATTTGTAAGTGAGCTGACATTCAGAGCTTGAGCAACCAAGGCTCAGATGTGGCAGGACCCAGGCTTGGCCTCCAGCCTACGCTGGTACTCCTCATCCAGGCCTGCACAGCTCTGTGTGCCAACACCTCTGTACCCCACAGATTCCTGGAGTTCTGTAAAGAAAACGGAGGGTATACAGGGTGTCCCTTTCCTGCCAAACTGGACCTACAGAATGGACAGAACTTACTTCAAGATCTGAGCAAGCTCAGCCCCTCTACCTCAGGTATGGCTGGGCCAGGGTGGGCCAGGCAGGGGACAGTGGTGGAAGAGAAGGTAAAGAAAACAAAGCATACCTCCTTTCTTTCTAGGGCCCCATGGTCACGACTACCTCCCCCAGGAGCGGGAGAGTGAAGGGGGCCTGTCCCTGCAAGTGGAGCCCGAGTGGAGGAATGAGCTCTGAAGACACAGCTGCCTGCCTTCTCACACCAAGCCAAGCCTTAGCCCGCTGCACCCAACCCTGAACCAGAACCCAGCTGAGCTGCCCCTCTAAGGGACAGGAAGGCTGGGGGAGGGTGTTTACAACCAAGCCATTCCACCCCTTCCCCTGCTGGGGAGAATGACACATCAAGCTGCTAACAATGGGGGAAGGGGGAGGAAGAAAAACTCGTGAAAACAAAATCTTGTTCTATGCAAAAGCCTCTTGATCATGTCTCCTCAGCTTGGCCTCAGCTTCCCGTGTCCCCAAGCTGACCTGCAAGAGGGTGAGACTGTCACACCCTGTCCAGGGCCACATCTCCGTGTCCAGGGGAGGAAACTCAGTGGGCAGGGAAGCCACCCACCGGTTTCTAAGTTTAGTCCAGGCTAGAGACCACGCCCCTCACCCGCCTCCCTCCCCGGCTGAGCCAGGCATGACCTCATCTCTGCTCTAAGACTCCACCCTTCCACCCTAGTCCTGCCTTTGCCAACAGGGGGCCAGTCTGGCAAGCAACTTGGAAATGAAGAGAGAGATGGGACTCTGGGCTGGTAGCCAAGATGGGAACCAGACAAAGGAAACAGGAAGCTGCCACACACGTGTTGGAACCTGTGGCCTTTATTCATGCCCCCCACCAAGTGCAGTCAGAGACAAGGCCCCTGCCCAAAGGAGAAACCCCAATCCACCTACCCTAGAAATGCTCCTCTGAGCCAGAAGTATATAAAGTGCTGGTGTGTGACCATCCTCTGGGGAGGGCCAAAGGGAGCAAGAGCCCTACCCCTGGACCAAGGCAGCAGGGAGAGGGGACTGCTCGAGAAGGGCAGGGCACAGGCCCAGCTCCCAGAGGACAGGGAGGGAGGGCAGGCCTGCCACCACTCTGGGGGCTAGGGAAACGATGCAGTCCTGGGCAAGAGGGAACTGGAAAAAGGAGCCTTCAGCATGGAGTCCTAAGGGTGGAGCTCAAGGGCAGGTGGGTGATCCCTAAGCCCCAGTGAAGGAAAGGGGCATCAGGAGCCGTGGGGATCTCAGAGAATGGGACAGCCCCTCCGGCGCTTATTCTTGCGGACCTGGAGGCCAGCTCGAGTGGCCATCTCGAAAACCTCCCGCACTCCCTCCTTGGTTTTGGCGGAGCACTCAAGATAGCCAAAGGCACTGATACGATTTGCCATATCCCGGCCTTCCTCAGATCGGACGGGTTCCTGAGAAGACAGAAGATAAGGCAGAGGAAGCTGGTGGCTAGGTGCACCTGTCACCACATCACCCATAAGTATAGTAACTATAACAAATACCTCCTCCAGCCCTGAGCCCACAAAGCATCCAGGCCCCGGCTGCCCCAGGCAGGGATCTAAGCCTCATGTTTACATTCAAAGTTGTCCCCAGACTAGCCCCTCCTCTCCCACCTAGTCACAGACCCTATGGTACACATATGTTTGGCCAGAATGTGTGTCGGCTACCTCCTAAATGACCTACCTTCTCCATCATCCCCCCAACCCATCCTTTGCCTGCTGTCTGCAGTTTAAAACCTTGCCTTATATAATTATCCTCTCAAGATAGTCTCTATTCCATATCCTGGCAGCTTCCTGTAATAAACTGCTCCTCTGGTCACTGGGCCGCTTAGTAAGACCCTGAATAAGCCAGCTCCCTCGCCCCCTAAGCCTTTCTTCAGCCATTGATGATGCCCTTCCTCCCCAGGTACACTGATGGCGCAGTCTGCATACCCCAAGTGAAACATAAGCTGTCTCCCCGTGGACAAGGACTTCCTTATTCATCTTAGTAGCCCCAATTCCAAAGACAGAATAATAAACTGGAATAAATGAAAATGCCAAGTGACCTTGGACAAGTCACTTCATTCTCTGATCATCTGATTTGATACTGAGGTTCCTTCTGGTTCTTAGCAGGGCACACATGGGAGAGGAGGAGGTAGATATCACTATGACTGCTTAACACAGGATAGTCGGCTGAAGAGAGAGCTCCTTTCTGCCCCAGCCTGCAACCCCTCAGAGGGCACCTTCCTCCCCAGGGTTCCCCACCAGGCAGCCCTACCCACCTGCTTCATCTTGGCCAGCTCTCTCCTGGTATGCTCATCTTGCCTCAAGTCCTTCTTATTCCCCACTAGGATGATGGGCACGTTGGGGCAAAAGTGCTTCACCTCCGGGGTCCACTTCTCAGGAATGTTTTCTGCACAGACATGTCCCAACAGGTACCTCGGCTTAGGCATGTGAGCCCTGGTCTTCCTTCCCATAGCGGTCTGAGGCTGATGGTCTCCTTCATACCTCAAAACCCCATCCCTTGTAGTGTATTCTCCCCCAAGCCCTTCCAAGCACCGGAGATGCCACAACAAAAGAGCCAGTAGGGCCCGAGTGGCCCTTGAGACTCCATCCCCACAGCCTCTGAAGATGGCTGACTCCAAAGGGTCTCCACCCCCTCTCTCCAAAGTCCTCACCCAGGCTGTCGGGGCTGTCAATGGAGAAGCACATGAGGATGACATCTGTGTCCGGATAGGAGAGAGGCCGCAGACGATCATAGTCTTCCTGTCCTGCTGTGTCCCACAAAGCCAGCTCCACCTGACAAACAATGCGTAGCTGACCCCAAGGGCCCCAACCTGCTACCCAGAGATCCTCTCAAACCACTGGTCCTGCTGTGTGCCAGGCACCGTATTAATCACAGTCACAACAAACTCAGATGAGTTTTTCTTAAAAGTTCTAAGATGTAAACTGGGTGTACTGGTACATACCTATAAACCAGCAACGTGGGAGGCTGAGGTAGAAAAATCACCAAGTTCAAGGCCAGCCTGGGCAACTTAACAAGACGCTGTCTCAATTTGTTTAAAAAAATAAAAAGGGCTGGGGATATAGTTTGGTGGCAAAGTGCTGCTGGGTTCAACCCCTAGTAACCCCTCTTCCACTAAAAATCACTAAAATGTGTTTGACTTTTGTGGTCTCAAATGAATTGCTATCGTGAATACCACTTTGATTCTCACACTCCTTTGGGGTAAGTCATGCCATCATCACCATTTTGTGGTGGTGGGGAGTTTAAACCCAGAAGCAAAGGGACTTGGCCCTGATTACAAAGCGAGTATGTGATAGAACCAGAGGACATATCCAGGGATTAACTCAGAGCCTCTTGCATGCTAGGCAAGTACTCTACCAGTAAGCCACACTCCAGCCCTTTTTATTTTAGATAGGGTCTGGATAAGTTGCCCACACTGACCTCAAACTTGTGCACGACCTTCCTGCTTCAGCCTCCTGAGTAAGCTGGCATGATGGGCACGTACCACCACACGTGACTATATCCAGGTTTTCTAAAAGTGCAGTTTCATTTCTCAGATTTTACTTGTTCCCACAGGAAAATAAAACAAAGATGTGAGTGAGTGGGTGGTAAGGAAGGACACACTACGCATGACTAGGGGCAGGGTTCCAAGGCAGGATAGGAAAGGGATCTTGGCCTTACCTGCTTGCCGTCCACCTCAATGTCTGCAATATAGTTCTCAAAGACAGTAGGGACGTAGACCTCTGGAAACTGATCCTTGCTGAAGACGATGAGGAGGCAGGTCTTTCCACAGGCACCATCCCCCACAATCACCAGCTTCTTTCTGATTGCAGCCATGGCTGGGGCTGGCAAATAAGAGGCAGTAGGGATTTGGGGAAAAAAAAAAAACTAGTAGTCCAAAAACTGCTCTGTGGCCTCCAGAACCTCCCCACAAACCTGGGCAAAGGAAGAGAAAACAGAAAAGGGGGCTTGCTTCGGCACATTCTTGCCAAGCACCAATCCTGTAGGAAACAGAGTTTAAGATTCCTAATTTCTGGGGCAGGGACAGGTCTTCTCCAATGGGTTAAAATATAGCAGGAGGTAGAAGAACCCACTTGGGAACCATGACTTTCAACGTTATCCACTCAACGGAGGGAAAACACTCAGCAAGGTGTTCAGGGATGCCTCCAGAAAAGCCAGCTTTTATCTGCTTTGCATAGTGGAGTCATGAGACAGATTTCATTTGTAACAAGATTTTGATACATTTAAGGTTTAATAATTGCTAAGGTGTAATCTAGAACAGATTGTCCCTCGGCTGGAGTCACGCCTGCCTAGTCACAAACAAGGAGTCCCTCTACAAAACCAGAGACTAGCAGAACCACTTACTGGGTGGCTGATAGGTAAGAGAAGGAATATGTATAAAGCCCCCAGGTGCCCTCTCTTTGTTGGGTAATTATTTCCCTCAGGTTCCAGTGGCTTGTTAGGTGAATGGTGCACTTCCCATTTTGACCAACAAGGAAACTCACTGAGGGTTAGATAATCAGAGTGTCAAGGGCTGGGCTATATGTCTCCAGAGTCTCTGCCTTTCTACATGTCACCTCAGAGGTGGAAAGGAGAGCAGGAGGAGGAAAATCCAGACAGAGGACAGTGGCAGCAGCCAGCAGCTTCTCTGACCCACCCCACCCGGTCCCCAAAGCCCGGAGTCACACAAAGGAGGCTCAGTCCAGGCAGTGCCCACAGCTCACATTCGGGCAGCCTGCCTTCCTCCCCCCTTCCTCCTGGGCCTGGTGGCAACACTAGGTTACTCAGCCCCCAGTAGGGGACAATGACTACACTGTAGGGAGTCACGCATCCACCACAGCAGAGGGACAGAATAATCCACTAGGGAATCACCTCCACCCACTCTGGAACAGCCCCTTCCTCCCTCGGTCCAGCTCACTTTTATGCCCTTCCCACCCCTCCCTGTGACTCAGGGCAAGGAGTCAGCTTCCCAGGGTTAGCATGTGTCCCTCGTCACCAACACACATGAACGAGCAGTTCATCACACCTGCAGTTCATCACACCTTCACAGCTTCCCTCACTTCCTCCTTCCCCGGGGGAGGGGAGCCAAACTCCACCCAGCTAGACTCCCAGGCCTGCAGTCAGGGAGAAAGAGAGGGTGGGCTCTGGAGCTGAAATGAAATCTAGGCTGTTGGGAAGAGGGAGGGAGCTAGAGCCTGGGCTGGGAGGAGCCCCAAAACAAATGACAAATGAGGACCAGTCCCTGCACCAACTAGGCAGGGAGCACAGGGTATGGAAGGTAACCTGATCTCCGCCTCAAACCTAGTTTTTTCTCAGTCCCACATCCTGTCATGCTGGGCTGAGCTCTTCTAGTCCCTGCATTCCACCACCTCACTCTATAGCCTGGGTCTGCTTTTTAGGAAGCAGAATACTCCAGCCCCAGGCTGTTTCTCTTCAACAGTGAGATGCTAGGCGGCCCCTCCCTCTCCTCACTTACACATTCAGAAAACTGAGATGTGGGGGAAGAGGACATGAGTCACTGAGAATTCATAGGAGCCACTCTCCAGATCACAAAGGGGCTCTTCCTGATACCCCAAATGACAGGGAAGATGTGCCCTGCCAACACATCCCTTCCAAACAGGGGTTCCTTGAAGTCTACCCAGGTGACTGACACTAGGATTTCTTCCAACTCCCCCACCTACTCCCATTAGTTCAACTCATTCAGCTGTGTAAACAGGGGCTGCGCTAACTCCAACCCCCGGGCAGTGCGGATAGAGAGCAATCACTACCGATCTACCAGTCACTTAGGCAAGAGTGCGCCACTGCCATCCCCCAGCAAGGCAACTGGCACCAGATGGTGGGAGGCAGAGGCCAGAACTCCAGGACAAGGACATGAATTAAGTGACCTGGAACCCCCAGCTCAGAAGACTTTCCCTCCAGGCTCTGGTTGGGCCAGAAGAGTAAGCAGCCCAGGCCAAGCCAGGGCACAAGGCCCAAGGCCAAGATGGCACGGACAACAGCTCCCTGTGAGAGGCAGCCCCAGAGGAACTGCCCCACTGACCCTAAAAGGGGCAACCCAACCCCACGCAGAGACTGAAGTGGAGCTGGAACCGAGCCTGGAACTTCTGGCGCCTCCCCCGAGACAAGATATGTGGATACGTAGCCATCTCTCTTCTTAGCCCACTGTCCTCGCTCATTCTCTTGATTTTCCCCGAAGATCCAGTGGCCTCCTACCCGGCTCACTTCCCCTGAAGTTTGGGAAAGACTCACTCTTCAGGTGACACCTCTTCCTCAACTTTAAAGCCAGAACCCAGAGAACTCTGTGCCCCGGGCTCCCCAGCCGACACCCCTAAGATAAATCTTTAGCCTGGCTGGGGAGTGTGGAGGGTGGATTCCTTCACACACTCACATGAACGAACACACACGGGCTGGATCCTTCCCAGTCTCCCCTACCCTATGCCCCAGGCAGGTTCCAAGGACTGTCGAGGGCGGCGTCCAACCTCCGCCGAGCAGTGGCAGCCCCCAAGGGTCACACCGCGCCCTTGTTCCCGCCATTCCACCGTCCGGGCCCGGGAGAACTCCCTGCCCATCCCCAGCACCGCAGGCCAGGTCCGCGCTGGGCCGTCCAGCCTGGGGCTAGCCAGGGCGTCCGGGCTGGGTTCCCTGGCGGAGGGAGATCAAGGCCGCCCCCTAGTTCCGCGGGGGAGGCTCGAAGAAGCCGGGAGGGAAGGGAAAGGGCTCGGATCAGGACCTCGGCAGGAGAGAGCCCCGGCCAGGCCGCTCCGGGGGCCCCTCGCTGCAGTCCGGGGAGGAGCCGAGCAGGCCGGACCCCAGCGCAGCCCGGACGCCGCGTCCAAG